TTTAGATGAGATGCTAATTAATGCTCTCTACTGCAGTTTATCACCTTGTTCTTTGTGTTTTCTTTTAGTGACCATAGTAACAAATTCACCCTCTTCTTATGACAAAGTCTACTAATGTGCTACAATAGGTTCCTATTTTAAAATTCTGAGTTGCTTCTGAGATTGTCAGACCAGAAGCTGGCATAAATTATCATAGCTCCAGCAGCTGTGAGTGGTCTGTGTGCTGTCACCCCAAAAATGCTCCACTGGATTCCTAACGCATGCCTTGGTATGGCCTGTGGCTGTTGTTTGTTCTGAATCTGAAATGAGCAAGCATTCATCCACACTGACCCTCACACGTAGGAGTGCCTCTCTTTTGTGTGTCTGTCAGAGTCCCTTCCCTATTCTGTAGGGCTTTGCTTTCTTTGCAAAAAAAGAGGAACATTAAAGAAATACATTAAATAGATAAACATTGAATAAGCGTATTAAATAAAACAGCTAAATCCTTTTTCGTTGCTAAACCCAAGTGGAGAAAAGGCAGGGGTGATGAAAGAGGTGAAAAAGTATCTTTTGCCTTACAGCATAAAGAGAAAAAATCAGCTCTCTTGTTATAATTGGAATAAATGTGATGTCGTGTTGAGAGAAGTCAAAGGTTTTGGAATTAGAGTCTTTATCCCATTAAAAAAAAAAGTTTTAATTAAAGCAATAATAGTCATTTACTATGCTTTTCTCTGTCTGTCTGTAGATTTGTGGTTAACTTAGTAAGAATGAAAATGAAAACAAAAAAAAAGCAAAATTATATTAGCAGAAAATTAATATTAATTTTTAATTTTTAGTGAAAAGTAATAACTTTTTAATGAAGTCTTGTAGGTTCTTTTAATAATTTTTTAGATGTACTGAGAAATTATATCGATAATACTGTCTTAATTCATTATTTAATATGTATTGTATATATAAATGTAATGAATGCATTTTCTAGCATTTCCTGGGCATTTTACTGCTGACTGGCAAAAGCCCCAGCTAAACAAATTGAGATTAACTTGGTCATCTGAGGTAACTCAGGCGCTTCAGGTGGGCTGCAGAACTGGAAACCCTGGTGCTGACTTGATCCAGGATCCCACAGGCTGCTCCAAAAGGGCAAAGAGGCTTCTTCAAATCTACAGCTTTTGTGTTACCTGTTGTGATGGACACCAGGAAGCTGATTCCCATTGTGCTAAAATAGCAGAGCCTGTCTCAAATATTCACTTGGGGTGAAGAGTAGTTAGTTCATGCTCATCCATAACAGCTCCCATTTGCACCAGAAGGTCATTAACCAGCTAGCAGTACTTGCCAACAGTTATTGCTATCCCATTAAGGTATACTGGCAGTTCCTCAGTTTTAGAAATTTAGAATGAGCATTTTGAGTAAGATCACAGAAGAATATAAAGCAGACTGTCCATTGTAGAAGTGGAGGTCCATATTGGTTTTTTTTAAATCCCATTGTTTTCTGTCTAAAAGGCATAGAGTGCTGAATATTTCTTTAAAATACATATTTTTGACATACTTTTTATTAAGATCAAGATTTTGACTTTCAGTTTTAAATTGTCAAGAAATGCCATGTTGTCAAATGTGATATGGCAGCACCTTCTAGAAACCTGGAGTCCAAGTTTCTCTTGCACTTAATAAAATTGTGAGGTACTTCCTAGACAACAATCATTGCTTAAGAACCAGAACTTTAAATTTCATCTGTGTACACAAACAGCATTTCACATGAAAGATATCATGGAAAAACTGTTAACCATCTGGTAACAGAACACTTGAAATAGAAAAGTGCTAAAATCTCTTCTTAACTGAAAATTTTTCAGTTAGTCATTGTTACTAGATGCGTAGATGCAATTACATGAAACATAAGTATTAATTTGCTGTGGACATCTGTCACAAGCATAAGAAATTTTGTCATAGTTAAGAAGCACATACTTGCCTTTTTCAGTGTAATGTTGGTTTAGATATTCCAGGACTAACTGATGGTAAAATGCTGGTGTATTTTCAGAGACTGCACTCCACCCTCCACAGTAAATATATCTTCTTTAAACTCCATGCACAGTTGTTCTAAATACTTGTGTTATGCAAGGAATCTGATGTAAATTGTTTGGATATGACACCATTCCCAAGCCTGGTGTTTTAGGAGAAGAAAACATAGAAAAAGTCCTGGGCAATGTAACTTCTTTGTAGTCTAGTCTTGACACTTTTTGGTGTGATATCCTCTGTGTTTGTGGGATCATACCTCTGGAACATAGTGTTTATATTTAAGTTGGTGTTCACACTAATGCTATTCCTATTTCATTTATTCACAGAACAGTGATATTGAGGCAATGGTTAAGTATTTGGAGAGTGTCCTGAATAATAGCTCATTGGGTAAGATGATATCTCTTCTTTAAACAATATCTGTTCTTTAAATAGCAGCAGTTTTTAGCAGTCTGTACTCATCACAGTCCAATTATTTCCATTTTGCAAAAAAATAACTCAAAAAATGTGATCTTGAAAATTACTTCCTTAATCTACTGCAGAGAAGTATAAATATGCAGAAAGAAAATGCATGCACAGTTAAGTGCTTTTGTTGAAAATAATAAAACCATTAAAGCATGATAGTCAGAGGTGTGGAATGTAGTAACAAAAGCTTTTAAAAACTTGGCTTCTACCATTTTTCTCCAGAGGAAAATATTTGAGGATATGTAAGTTGTTTTATAGTTTTTAGTACTGGCAACAATAAGAGAAAATTAATTAAATTTTTTTTTTTCAAATTATGATCAAGGTTTGGATAATATTTATGTTGCAGTATCTCACTAGAGGTACAGAGAAATCACTGAGACTTTAAGTTTACAATGTAGTCCTAAAATCGCCTGCAAATTCTACATATAAATTCAGAGTTTGAAAGCCTGGTTTCTTGTGGTCAACTCAAAAGCTAAAAAGAAGACATATATGAAAGAAAGCTATTTACTTTGGCTGCCTTAGTCACTGCCCCTGAAGACCACCCAGTTGATCTGTGCCAACAGCAGCCTGTGTGTGAGTTGCACGAAAGCCCAGCTGAGTTCCAAAGGCTCCCATGGGAACTGCAATCTGATTTAGCTGCTTCATTTGCACTCGTTCAGTTGGATAAACCTGACTCAGTATTATCTTGTGGCTCTAAGACTAGAACACAGGGGAATCCTGGGAAGTCCTCCTCCCAGAGGTTCTTCTGAGCTCTGTTTCATCCCTGTTTGTGAGCATGGACTGGTGGGAAGAGAAAGCCAAAGAAGAAGGATGAAAGGGAGCAATCAAAGCTATGGCCAGCATAGTCTTGTAACCACTGGTCATATTCTGGTCCCTTGTCAGGGAGATCCTTACGACTGAAGGAAGGAACATTTACATCCAGTTTCTCTTTGCACTAACAGAAAACTGCTGTCAAATTCTGCAATCAGTTATGCACTTGCAGCATCATTGTCTTCAATTGTTGTTTTAATTAAACAGAGGAGTTATCTCGAAGACTTCTAGGAACAAACCTGAAAATTAGTCAAAGAGCGGTTTTTTAAAAACAGTCTTAGTATTACAGAGATCCTTATTGTCATCTTTTTCCTTTCACTATTAAGAACAAGAAGATGCTTTTTTAAAATTGTAATATTAAAGACTTAAATTGTGCTTTTATTATTAAAAAATCTCGGACCAGTCTGTGCTGAAACTTACAGCCTTTCTCCGAGCTAAGGTAGTAATTAGGTTTGTGTGGTCTGCTCCGAACAAATATCTGTGATGATAGTAAGAAACATATCTTTGTATGCTCAGTGTCACTGAGAAAGTTTAAACTTTTACTATTTTGAGTTCTTCCAGTGTCAAGCTATAAAGCTGCAGTTGGGGTAATTTTTATGTGTTTGCTAATATTCATTTATACTTTGCATATTCTTCACTGGGCTGCAAATTCACGGTACATAAAAATTTTCTGTATATGGGGCATTTTATATAGGTTAGATACTTGTTCTCTTTTTTACCCTAGAGCTAGTTTTGTCCACTTCCAGGCCTGCATTTTTTTAACTACATTGGTTGAATTGAGTTAGTTATAAGTGTGTCTTTCCACACAGAACACTACTATCCATCTGAAAATCCAGGTTGTATGTTACAAGAATAAGTGGAAATAAAACAAAATAGCACAACTAACTAGTCATTAGAAGAACTGCTGAAGAGCTTAAGCAATTAAATCAAAATTTCTGTCAGGACAAGATCAGATGAAGCCTGAATCCTTGCAAACTCAGATCCAGGTGTGTGGTCTGGTGCTAGAAGTTGCAATACCATAATATTGGGCTACAGAGCTACAATATAATAATGGCTACTCCTGAAAACAGTATGGATTTCATGGCAATCATAGAGCAGAAGCAGAAATTTGGCCAGGCCAGAATTTCTTGTAGCGTCTTTCATTGTTAAAGGTATTGTGAAAAAATTATGAGTCATTTCAAGCAGTTGTTAGTGAATAAATAAGTAGGAAAAAACTAGAACTTTTTTTTATGTTAGCAAAGGCTGTGATAAAAAGAATGCAATAAATATACATTTTTTTTCCACAGGTGAAGTTTCTTTAGTATAAACCTCAGTGTTTAAGGGTAAAAGGACTTATGAGGTGACTAAACTTTATCCTCAAGAGGTCCCACAGAATCACTCTGAATACCAGAGCTTTAGTGGTTGCTTTTTTGTTGGCTATACAGGTACATGTGGAATGTATTTGAAATAAGATAGTCCATACTGATAAAAGTTGAAAAATTGGGAAGATCGCAGAAAAGAGCTGCAAAAGGAAAGGGAGTTTGAAAAACAGTTTATTAAGGAGGAGAAGGTTAAGGGCAGTTGGGTCACTTTGTATTGTTTATGAATCAGGAAAACACATCTGATTCTAATCTTTTATACCTTGTACAGAAAGGCATTGTAGGATCTCATGTAGCAGTGAAAGCTGAAGAAAGAAATCTGAAATCCAAATGGAAGTCTATGATTCAGTGGAGATAATAGCTTTACAACAGATAATGACTTACCAAGAGATGCAGTAGATGTCTGTCACCAATTCTTTGGTCATTAGCAGAAATATTTGTAGGAATGCCTTTGGACCACAATGTGTGAAAAGTCTCACCAGATAATGCACCTGTGAATAAGCATTCAGGCAGAGGAATTAGTTTCCTTACAGATCCTCAGTGAGAACCTCAAACTGATGTTCCATCACCTGAAAGGACAAAGACCTTTTGCCCTGTATTGTTCTCTGCAATACTAGACACTGGGAGATACTATTCTGTGAAATACATTTAGAAAGCCACAATACCTGGTTTTGAAAAGTCAGTGCTCTTGTTTCATTTGATTTTATTTAATGAATCAAGAACTATATATTGCATAAAAAATGCAAGTAGTTATCTGGTAGCTTTTTGAAGAAGCTTAGTTCCATGCTCTATGTTGGTAGGCAAACTGCCCAAAGCTGAGTACAAAATATATTATTAATCAAGTAACTGCTTCTAAGAAAATACCTTTGATATAAAAGTTGGTGTGATAATGAATCACTCTAGCAAAATTCTTTGAGGTGTGTTGTAACACCAATGTGTCAAGCTTAGTGGTTTTCACTGAGAACTCATTTTTTTAATGATTAACCACATCTTTGCAGCATCCTACAATCTGCAGTCCTTGCTGCTTTGCAGTACCCAGAAAATCTTATTAAATGGAGGGAAAGATAGATACTAGTTTACATGTAGAGAGTAAGTTTTACTTGGCCAACTGCCTATGTGGAGAGTAGACAAAGCACAAATTATTTAGTCAGAAATCCCTGGGGAAAAAAATCTAAGAAGGATGTCTTTAATAATGAAATGTCAGAGGAGAAGGAAATATTGTAGCAATAAATTTGATTGAACCCACTAAGCAGAAAGAATATGCCGAGCTCTTACTACAGTGATATATCCTGTAATAATAATACCAGAATTTATCTGAGGCCTGTGGTTAAATGTACTCTTTCTTAAGAGAATGCAAAGATTATATTTTCCTTAGGCCAGTGGTGCTCAGGGCATTGATGTTTTTTGGTCTCAAAGCCCCAAAGCCCCAGGTCTGGACCTTAATTCTGTGCCAGCTCACAAAGGAGTGTGCCACCCAGTAATTCATGAGCATTGCTTTTCACAGTGCCTGGGGTTTCCTCAGGGCCATGCTGAGAATAGCTGAATTTTCCAGTGCCGCTAAAGGGATCGAATGCTTACAGACTCCGTGGCAAAATGTATGGACGTGCATGTGTAGTGTTACAGTAAATGATCAGGACATGTTTTTTGCATTAATAGGTGAATTAATTGGTTGCTGGTAACAACTGAGCTTGTAATTTTTCATCTTTTAAGCTTCGTTAACTATATCTCAGTTGTAATACTTAGGCACCAGACAACTATTATCCATTAAGTATAAAGATAAGCTAGGAAAATGTTTTAAAATGTCAAAACATGCCAGATAACAGTCAGGAATCCATTTCTTCTGTGGTCTCTCTCCACGCTTGCTTCCAGGGTTCTGAATCCAGCAGACACTGTGAGCGATTCAGTAAGATCCCTCACAATGGAAAGTTTCAGTCTCAGCATTCAAACGTATGTGATCAGGACCTAGAATTGTGTAAGACATAGGAGCTTAACCCTTGGAAAAGCCATGATTACACGTTCCAGGGAAGCATTCAGTGCTCTCTGGGGTTGTCTATACTGCTCATAGCAGGGGGGTTGATGCAAGCTCCCTCTGCCTCCATGTGATCGATGTTAATGCAATCCAAACTAAATCCCAGCTGAGTCCAAGGTAAAAAGCACTGCTAGGAGAGGAGTGTGTGTTCATTTAGACAAGGCACTGTGTTAATGTGTTTGACTTTTGACTTGTTCATATCGTATGCAGAGCCCTCCCATTCCTGTTCAGAACCTGAGTCCTGTGTGCCACAGCCCACACATTTACACAGGATGTAATCCCACCCTGTTACATCTTCTCCTCTTCTGGGAAGTGAAATCCTAATACTAGGATTCTTCTTATTTTGCAAGAAGCCACTAAAATAGTTGCTTTGTTTAGCTTAACAAATTGGAAGCTGAAATAGGATCTCTTTCCAATTATAAAGAAATGAAAGGAGTATGCAAAAGGGAAGGAAAGAACTGAGTAGAACAAAGAAAATTACTGGCACAGGAGGAAAATGAACATGAACTGGCCAATTAAGAAGTTTATTCAGGAAATAGGAGAGATTTTAGCCACCAGCTCTCCCAGTGAGACTTAGGAATTGTCTTCCAATGGGAGTAATCAGGGCAATAAATGCATAAATTCCTTAGGAAAACCACAGACTTGTATGATGGAATGACTGTATGAAATTGCAGGATATTTGAGCTGATAACCCTGACAGTCCCCTGTGATTCAGTACTTCTGTGTTCCTGTGGATGGATACCTCAGTGGTATGTGAACCTTAGGCCCTTAAATATTGCAACAGCCCAGAAGACCTGCAAACAGAAAAAGTGAGCATCTGTGTTTATGCATATATATATTTCTTATACATATGTGTTTACATATACAGGTATGTTTTTTTATATATATATATATATATATATATATGTGCATACATAAAAAGAGTGCCTTTGTCTGAAGAAGAAAGTGATGTCATAAGTTAGATACTTCCAGTTTACAGTAATGATCAAGCTAAAGGAGAGACTTACCTTCCAGGAAGAATGTTCTCGCTCTTAAAATAAGTGCAAAAACAATGGAAGAAAATGCATATTATCTGGCCAAAATTTTTTTTAAAATATTTATCTGTCCCAGCACTTCCTCAAGTGACTGTCCTTTCTGTTGTAATTCCTTGTATGCTACATGGAAAGAAAATTATTTTTATAATTCTGGTGCCTTTAAGATATAAATCTACTCGTCCCTCAGAAAGGAGTTGCCCTTAATGTGCGTTTAATAAACTAATTCATCTTTAATTAATGTGGCACTACCTTGTGAGAAACAGGAATAGTCTTCCTCCTTCTAACTGCCCTTGATTCTGCAATAGAGCTCAGAGGAGAAGGTGAATAAGGTTATGTGTCTGTGCATTGATTTGTAGGCTCGAGGACTGTCACCGGAGTGTCTCCAGGGGCACCCCAGAAATTCAGAACTCTCAACAGTACTATGGCTGAGACCAAACTGAAACGCATGAGGGAGTAAGTAGCATATTTATGTGTTACCAATATGCAGCCAAAGAATATGGATTTGAAAAACTGCAAAACACAGCAAAGAAAGCCATGTGTTGTTTCCCTACTCCAAAAAAATCCCTTTAACAAAAAGAAGTGGATGGTAAGCTGTTCTTTACAGACTGGATGCCTACTTGCCTCCAGAGAGAATGAAGGTCAACCATTTCTTCTTCTTTTCTTGTAACCTACACAATCACTGACATCCTTCCAGGATCCTGTTTGCCTTCACCGCTGTCAGTGTTGTTCTGAACTTCACTTTCTTTATTAGCACACCAAATTCCCATAAATCACCTGCAGGTATACACATTACCACCATGTTTGCTCCCTAACCCACACTTCTTTCTTGCCTGGAACAAAAGGCAAATGGATTTGTTTTCCGTGATGATACAATGTTTTAAACCAAACACGATTGCTGCTGATGGCTGGGATTTTCAAATGTGACAGAGGAATTTAGATATGCAGTTCCCTTTGAAACTCATTATCTGTTTGTTTTCAGCATTGCTGAAACCCCAGCTTTATTAATAAAAGTTTCAGTTTCTTAATAAAACAAAGATCTGTACTTCCTTCCTAGAATGTACTGGTTGACGTATCTTGAGCCTTTATCTTGATTCAGTAATTTCTGGCTTTCCAAGTTTTATTGCATCCTAATTTAGGTGCTGATCTGATAATCGTAATGATATATATTATTTCTGAACTTAAAGATTCTTTGCAGTGTTGCAAGATTCAACTGCTCTCAGATTGTAAACTCTTTAAAAAAGGGCAGTTTTCTCTTGTGTGGGTGGACAGTGCCAACAGTGTGGTGGATGTTATTGGAATACAAATAAGTTCAAACAGTAAATGCTAATAGTTATTCAAGTGAGTAGTCTAAAGAAAATGAATATAACTGCAACAGCATTGATGGCAATCACTGTTTAAAACCAATCAGCATGTATTCAAGGGAAATACCAATCAAATTTACTTCAGATAGAAGTTATTTGGTTTTGTGGTATTTCAAAATGCAACAGGTCAAAGGGTTTCACTTCATGGCTTAGACTTCATTGTGCAACCAATTGACAGGTCTCAGAGCCTGCCACTTGTATTGCTTTCCATTCTCTTTTCATGGAAACTACTTATGAAAATAAAAAATGTGTCATGTTGTGCCATCTAGTCTCAAGGTGAGGTTGTTTAGTCAAAATATCCACTAATCTTATAGCCTTCACCTTGTGTTCTCATGGTTCCCAGATAAGCCTTAACTATTTGAACTTCATGGTCATTGCTTTTAGGGCTGAGGTATGACTAAGTCACTTGCTTCTTTCAAATTCTGCTTTTCCAGTGCTCTTTCATGCTTTTCATAATTTGTTATGACTCATGTTATTGTTCTTTCTCCAAAATATGCTACAACTATGTCATTTTCTGAATATATAAAGGTGAGCGAGCATGTTAATTGCTTGGAAGGTAAAGTGTTAAGGACCAAGTGAGTGAGCACAGTACCCAGCATGCACATACACAGGAAGATCACTGCAAACTCTGACCCACGTCCAATCTGCACACAGGGCACAGTGGGGGTTTCAGTGGCAAGAGGGAAGTACATTTGGCTGCACAACAACGCATGAAGCCACAGCTGTTCTGCTCATCCCTCAGCAAACTTCACATGATGTGTTTGTTGTATGTCATCCACGCAGCAGTGCCACCTAAGCAAGGCTAATATAATTTAAACTTGTGCAATTCAGTTTTACTCAGGTAGATGCAGGCTTAGGAGGGGGGTCTTCCAGATCAAACTTCTAATGAAAGAGACAATGTGGAGGGGTTGTCCTACAGCAACTGAGTAGCTGGAGTTCTTATAAGGAAAGAGAAAAGAAGAGCAGGGATGATAATGTGGAAATGCAGTGAAATCTGTTTGGGTGTCAAGTCACCGTAGAAAGAGGAGTATGAAGGTTTGGGATTTGCACCATTTTCAGATGCTAGCA